TTCGTAACCAATAACATCTCCGCAGTTCACGTTGTCAATAACACCGTACGAAAATATACCACCGAACACATTCTCCTGGGCTCCCTGATGCAGAGCAAAGTGCAGGACAGTAATGAAACAGACTACTGGTAGCACTGAAATCTAGCTAAAAGAAACACCAGTTGCCTGAGAGGTGTCTCGCAAAGAACAAAGGCATTCAGCGGGCTGCAGCAATGAAAGCGAGGTATTCAATTTAGGAAAAAGCAACAGTGCTTCTACTGAGGCAAATCACAGGTGTGGTACTTTGAGAAACTTTCTATGAGAGGTCACTTTACAGGTGTGGGGCGGGTTTGATGTAACACAGCGCTGCTTTTCGGCTTATTTATCAGTGGCTTGATCCAGCAGCAGAACGATCCCTAACTTTAAGTATGACTGATTCTTTTCGGCGGGAAATTGCATTATTTAGTGCTTTGAGAGAGTTAGCAACAAATAAGGATTTTATTAAAAGACAAACAGTGCGTAATTTTTACAAGATAACGAGGGTAATAGATTTCATACTTTTAGAGGTCTCAATTTACCTGGTGCTCGAGCCATACGGTAAAAAGGGGTTGTTCGAGAATATTGTGCTCGATTGCAGCAATCAGCGGTGGGGTGACACCATCAACAGCAATCGATGTAAACGCTAGCCCGACAATACCATCGACAGGGTCATCGTCAAAACCGCTTAGTTTCCGGGCCATACCAAATGTGACATTCGGAATAACTAGCGCCTCATCATCGCCTGTAATGAACTGAAAACGCGAATTCTGGACTGCAGCACTGTTTTCGAATCTCTGTCTTCAGTCACCTACAAGAACGGCACGTACTGTGCTTTTATTCGGAGGACGCTATTCAACATTCTGTTGCTTGCATTGTAACAGTAGTGATTTTACAAAGGTACTTCAGCTACACACAGTTAAAGAAATTTAGAATGATAAATACATAATAGATCGTAATGCCCAACATAGGGCCAGATGTTTTCACATGAGGTTTAAACGAGCATACGGCTCAAAGCCTTAAGATCGTCTTCGAGAAATTCCTCCTCAGCTCCTGTTTTTGCATTTTCGTGGCCAAGTAGACGAGGAAATTGAAAGCCTAACAACTATGTCTGAATACGATAACACAGAAATTTAAAATCATTTTTCTAACTTCTGTATTTTTGTGCGTTTTTGCATTTTCTGCAAATGAAAAAGCGTATTATTGAGAGGTTTTTGGCGTGCGCGGATGCTTTCGGGTTTCATGCCCATTATGTAAATTAACCTATAAAACGCTTTATTCGGGTAGATACTATGGCTAATACTCAAGCAGCAGGCTTGTAGTGCGATAATGCATTTTTTGCACTGGACTTAAAGTAATCAGGCCGTTAAGTTCATGAGTGGTTGTTGTTCTACACTTGCCTTGTGCGCTCACTAGCGTAAATTATCGTAAATTTTGCAAAAAGGAAATGAAGAATTTTCGTTTAACTGACATCCGTTGAAAATCACCTAACAGTTCAGTGAGCAGATTTCCCGACAAAGCTTTTAAGTGCCTTTACTTGAGAACCGCGCATACCTGGAGGCTGGATTTGAAATATTTAAATTGTACTTGAATAGTGAACATTACCTTAAAATTTCGGCCTTCTAGCTTTTCTGATTCTCGGGCTGAAAGTAGTGACAAAAACGTGCGAACACACATACACACACAGACAGCCTCTTGCCAGTATGCGTTTGCACTTTTTATGCAAAACGCACAAAAAGTGCAAATTTGGAACACATGTGCAGATTTTTTCCTCCACTTATTTTGTGTACATAGCACATTGCTCTGCTAAGTTATGAGACTGATAGCGCTAGTTTTTCTAAGCCAATAAATGACTAAGATTAAATTCCAGAAAAATTAGCTTCCGCAGTTAACTCACAGAAATT